TGCCTCAAAAATCAAACTTTGAGGGAGAAATACAAAATATTGTTCTAAAACAGAGGGATATCTGCAGAATTCAAAGCACTGAATATTTTCATAAGACATGATGCCATATGTTTGATATGATGTCAAGGAAATGGCATACATATGGCATATACTTCTTTGTCAGTTGATGCAGCTTTGGAGAAAGATTTTTAAGAAAAAAAATAGGGAAGAATGGCCTTATTTTAGAGTCACGTAACAATATGATGTTTTATCAAAATTTATATCGCATATTCAAACTCAGCTATTGGAGAAGCAGCTTTTAACATAAGAATTTAGGTAGATGTCATATATAAGAAGTTACACTTATCTTTTATTTACAACACCTGTTCTTCAAGGATCTTCTTTAACACGCTCTACAGATAATGCTTAAACCAGGCGAGAAGTCCAAGTTTGAGGATCACCCGTCCTATGCATGCCCAGGTTAGTCTTGTCATTAGATGGTTCTATTTCTGTCTTTTATGGGTTCCCAAAATCTTTAATTCTTTTGGGGGGTTATTTTTTGTTGTTTTCAAGATATAAAGAGACCCACAAATTGATATGTAAAATTTCATAGCACTTCTCAACCACTGTTGAAAATTCAAATTGCTCCAAACCAATTTTTCTTCAAACATAAAAAAAAATTTGACCCCCCTTCCCACACACACACAAACTGATTTTACAGCATGTGCCATTGCATGTAGATACTATTAAGTACTGCTGTGTTTATCTTTCAGTGTATAAGACCAGCTCCAGGAGAGGTACCCTGTCCACCACTGGACACTCGACCAACTTTGTCATGTCCATCCTCCTCCCGTCTGACCAACCAGAATCTCACTGGATCAACAGGGGTGTGGCCTGTCTCTGTCAATTGGACAACTGATGGACCAATCAAATCACTTGTTACATCTTCCTGTTTTTTTTCTCAGGATGTACATTTTAAATATCAATGAGTGAGAACTCAGTTCTGGAATATGACATCTATAGTATTGTAATGAAATGTAGAAGTAACACTCATCAAGATGCACTTGACAATGTTTTAAAACTTCAGTATATCAAACAGACCACCAATCATAACTATCTTTACTTAATTTTCAAACATTCATTCATTTATTTAATATTGTATCATTCCACAAGATTAATATTACTTTGCTGTAAGTGAGTTGCTTGTTTCAATTTCTTTTTTTCATGAATAAAAATTATGCGTACTTTACTATTGATAAGTCTAATAATTGCTAGATAGGAGTTAAACTGTCCAATACTGACTAAACAGGGTCAAGCTACATGAAAAGATTTTATGTAGAGCACATGCTTGATCTATATAAATATTGTCATATGTAATTTTACATTATTTATGAACTTTTGCATTTATTTGTCCAGAGTGATGGCAAAGCAGCTGGACCAGTTATCACTCATTTTATATGAAAGTCAAACCAACATGCATTTGTCATCAGATTTTTGATTGGTTGCTGGAAATATGACATATTTTTTTTATTGGTTGCTGAATATGCATTTTGAAAAGCTTATTAAAATCTTTCAGATTTTCTGTTAGGAATGTTTTTATGTATGTATATAAATGATTACAAATGGAATTTAATGTATATATGTACAGGGAAGGAGTTTTTTCTCACAATCTTTGTTTGATTTGTTTTGGGTTTTTTTACTATAATTAAATTTACTTTAATCCTTTGAGTACATTGTCTCAATTTAGTGCAGAAATGCAGAGAAAGGAAATAAATATTACATGAATGTTTAATGGCCCTATTGAGTATATTTATGTTTATGTAAATGCACATAAATGAATTGACTGGAAGTTCACATTATTATGGCAATTAAAAGGAATTGCACTCATAATACACATGTAATTGTACAACTATTTTTGTATGGTGTAGAAAGCCTTTTATATATTTTAGAGAGTATTTTTGCACAGATATTTATTTTTATAAAGTTGTAGTGTATTGCTTGTTGCCATTGTACATATTATTCAAAGCATTTATTTTGCTATGTTTGTCCTACAAGCTTACCTGTGATATCTAATACAAAAAGCAATGCCACTGCTATATTGTGTATATTTTTTTTTTCAATGTTTCACTTATTTGGTAATTTTAGACATGAAAATAACTAGTTCATTTAAAGCTGCTCACAATGTACGTTATCATGTATGATTTCATTATAAGAGCTTAAAGTGAATTGACATATCTTTTTTCTAATTTAGTAGGTTAACGAATCTTTCACAATAGGTCAAGAAACCACATTGCAAATGAATCTGTTTACCTCTGTATTCCTTGTTTGTGATATATATTATTTTGATACTATTTTAAAATTGTTATTAGGGCCCCGCAAGGATTTGCGGGTGCCCTATAGTAATCACTCTGTCTGTCCGTCCGTCTGTCTGTCTGTCTGTCCGTCTGTCACTCTTCCGTCCACAAATTTTCTGTTTTTTTCTAATAACTTTTTTTATGGTTGCCCAATCAAGTTTAAATTTGGTATGGTAGTTTATTAGGCAGAAATACATATTTTGATGCTAAGTTTGATTCTCTATGTCTTCTAGTTTGGAGCTGGGGTGGTGGGGTAGATTCCTTAACTATGCATAAGAATGAACGGGCAACTTTTTTTATGGTTGCCCAATTAAGATCAAATTTGGTACGGTAGTTCAGTAGGCAAAAATACATATTATGATGCTAAGTTTGGTTCTCTATGTCCCTTGGTTTGGAGCTGGGGTGGTGGGGTAGATTCCTTAACTTTATATAAGAATGCATTGGCAAAGAGAGATAACTGCTGAAGATGTTCCCATTCATTAAACTGAATACTACTAGGAGTCCCATGGGATTAATTAGCTTTCCTCCTGAAGAAAATCCAGAGCATTATCTTTATCTGTCACATTGAGATTAATTACCACCTCTGTCTGCAAATGAAGTTTGTTTTGAAGTTAAATCAATTTGGAATGCCATGAACACTCTGAAATGTGGATTTAAATATAATTTTTTATTATTTATTTTAGTTTGATAGTTATGATTTCATTGGATCCTAAAAAAAGAAATAGATTAAAGAAGATTTTTTGATTTACCAGGGTACTTTTTTTCACTTTTTTCCCTTTTTTTTTTAAATATATTAATTCAAGAATGTTTTTAATTTTTAATGTAGTTGTATAAAAACCCCATTCTATCATTAATACTGAAAAAGTTCTTATTGTAACTTTAGAAGAAAATGATGAGAGAGGTACAATTAATCCCTTGGGATTAATTATCTAGCCTGCTGCAGAAAATTTAGTAGGCTTCTCTTTATCTGTCACTTTAAGATTAATGAAAACCTTTGTCTGCAACTGCTGTTTGTTTGAAGTTAAGGCCAAGCCTTCGTGATATTTGCATTCATTGAAGGCTGGCATTTTATATAACACAAGATTCATAATTGTTTAAATATAAATTCAATGTTAAGTTGTTCTTTACTGCCTAATGTAAATACAAGAATATTATTTTCAGGTTTTTGAATATTCAGGAATTATGTTGAAATTTTAAGAATACAGTTGCTGTTGCTTTTTCTTTGTACATTTATTAATCATTCTGTAAGCTGCACCCTTTTAATTCTACCCCATGGCGGGGCCCTTGCTGACTGGTCAGTTTTCTAGTTTATATCTGTATTTTCCCACTATTTGCAATATCTGTATTGTCTGTGATCTATTTTTCGCCATTATGGCAATGTTGAAAATGTTATACGCAATATAAGGCACAAAACACTGTTCATTACAGTGGCTGGAACGTTATTGTTGACAACTTACACGAACGATCACGTTACACGAACGATTCCGCACGATTAACGCACGATTAAACCTGGTACACGAACGATCTTTCACGTTCACGATTCTACACGTTACACGATCTTACACGATTGTTAACGCAAACGCACGATTCTTCAATCAAAATAGTTCAAATTATTTAGGAATCAATATTTTCAAAACGAAATACGGCTTATTATATATTTAAGATTTCGAAGAATTATCAATATTATTTCATAGACGTTGAAGAAAAAAAAACGGAAAATGAAATTTCTGTTACTAAATATATGCAAGACTTAATATTTTAGATTAAAAATAATTATTTCTGAGGTAATTCTCCGATAAAAAAAAACGGATTTTGTTCGTTCTATTAGACGATGTACATGTATGTGGGTCGTATAATTTGATTGAATTGGATATCATGATATGCAAAAAGGGGGATACGATTGAAAAAAAAAATGGCAGCATGGAATGACTTCAATTATATTCACAAATTTTATCTTTATGTTTCCAATGATTCAATGTCTGATAAACTTGTCAATTATTCAACTTTTTTTATTTGCAGAAATTTAAAATTAATTAATTACAAATAGGCTCAAGAGATAAACACAGATAATGAAAACACCCGAAAATCATGCCGTGTCCATGTATATTTGTCGACTAACTAGTCATGTAAGCATTGAGAAATGTTTATTTCTTTGTAAAAAAAAAATTATTTATTTTCAATGAATTGATTTCAAGATTATCTTGACCACAACAAGAAGCAAATAATAATCAAAATAGGATTTTTCAAAAAGGCAATAAAGATCTAAGTACGGTTTATCACAATATTGATCGCGCAATTTGACGAGAACTTAATATTGTACGACTTACTATATTGCTTGTTTACGGGCGATAATTAGTTCGTTCTGCATTCTATTATGTAAATTGCGCTTTTTCATTTTATTTGGATTTTAATTAATAAATTAAGAAAAACAAACAAGGGAAATGCTTATTTTACATATAACATTCCGATAAAAACTTACAAAACGAAATTTACACGATTCTTAACGCACGATCTCGCACGATTTAAAACGCACACGATTGAGTCTGATACACGAACGATCTTTCACGTTACACGAACGATCGCTCACGATACACGAACGATTCTACACGATTGGTTTGTCAACAATAACGTTCCAGCCACTGTATGTATACTACAGATTTGGTGAGGGTTTATTTTGTTTCATGAGCACCAGACAGAAATGACCTTTTATGCATTTACTTTACACTTAATTTTTGTTGAATTCTATAATATAATTGATGATTTTGTAATTTGCTTAAATCAGTATTAAATCATCTTCTGTCTTAGGTTTTTGGTACCGGTAACCATCTTTTAAGTTAATTGTCTGTAGTCATGAACAAGAATAAACTTGCATTTCTTTAGACTTTTGTTGTTTTTAAGGTCTTCCATTTCCAACGGAAGACCTTTTACTGACTCTGTTGGTAAAGCTTTTTTTTTTTTCATTTTTCTTCTACTTCCTAGACCGCAACTTTGAGGCCTCATATCCCACTCATTTCTCAACGGATTTCGCTCAAATTTTCAGAGCTTATAGACGTTAATAAACTTTATGAGAATCCTGTCTAAAATTTCAAAAAGTTACTTCCGGTTTTGAGTTATATCCCTATTTGAGTTATACGAAAATTTATAGGCTTTCGTTTCCAGAAAAAGGCTCAGAGACGACTAAAGCTGGAGCAGAAATTCTACTGATTTTAGATAATAGAGGGATTGAAGTTGTGCACATCGGTTTTTGTTTTTTGATTTCTCAATTCAAAATGGCGCTATATAGGGGTAAAAAATTAGAACGCCTAAAAGAACCAAAAATTACTCATATTTTGCTCTTTATCTTTTAAACTAAAAATATTTTATTAAAATATATAGAACATAATTTGTGCAGAATTAGAAGATCTTTCAAATGATATGTCGAAAAAGGGGCTTGCTCTTAAAATTAAAGGGTCTAGAGGGGCCGAAAGTTTTTTCCTTTATATCTCAAAAAGTAGTGAGAATTTGTAATGCCCTAAAGAAGCAAAGTTGTTTAAAATGTGAAGCTTAATCTATTCAAGTCGTCAAAATACGTCCGGCGTCGTCACTGTCGGCCAAACCGGAAGTAGTCGGGAAACGCGTATTTTTGCCGTTCTTGACAAGTTTTTGGGTAACATCTGTCACTGGGAGCATAAGATTCAATTTTACGTCCGTCGTCATCACTTCTGGTCAAACCGGAAGAATTAAAAGTGGCTTATTTTTGCATTAGTTAACATAGATTTTGAGGATTTAAACAGTTTTTTGTTGTATTTAGTAATTTTTTTTAAATGAAAGTTATTTCCGGTCAAACAGGACGGAAGACCTACTCGTTGCTTGCAACGAGCTTTGCTCTAGTTTATCCTACAATGTATAAGTTAGCTCTTCTGAAACTAATACAGTTCTGAAGAGTGTATAGCTGTGTACTTGTATATTATACAATATATTGTGTACCTGCTCCTGAGTTTAAAGGTACTTGGACACAGATTTGAAGTTAATATTTTCTGTATAATATCACGAATTATATATTTTAATAGCATTTCACACAAAAAATAATTAAAAATCTTACTTCATTCAAAAGTTATTAAAACTTTATTTTTTTGGCGGGTTTGATTGACACATCCATGCACTTGAATCACAAATTTTAACTTTATCCTTAATCCTTAGGAAAAGAGGCAATCTTGTTGTGTATTAATGAAACGTAAATCCAGAAAAATAATTTTATTCAGAGTAGTAATGTTAGAAATCAAAACTTTTACTCTTATCGTCATTCCGAACTAAGAGTTGCGTACAGAGTTTAGCAAATTGAGCACACTCGTGTTATGTACACAGTTTTTGTAAACAGGGCAAGAGCTATTTTTGTTTTGTGTTTACGATTCAACGGGTGCGTTGAATCGCCAAAGTCTGTTCACCACAACTGCACGGACTGACAATAAATTGTGTGTTTGTTTTGCTTTCGAACATGTCTACTTTGAATTTTCTGGATTATAGTATTAACATTTTTCATTAATACACAACAAGATTTCGACTTTTCCTAAGGATTAAGAATAAAGTTAAAATTTGTGAAAGTGCAAGGATTTGTCAATCAAACCCGCTAAAAAATTTAAAGTTTTAATACTGTTAAATGAAATAAGATTTTTAATTAATTTTTGTGTGAAATGCTATTAAAATGAATTATATAAGTCGTAATATTATAGAGAAAATATGAACTTCAAATCTGTGTCTAAGTAACTTTAAAACTTAATGCATAGATTTGATGAGCAAAGGTAACTCTTTCAATTATTGTCATCTTCATGGCTCCTTGGTCAAAGGTTCTGATACTAGAGCTGGGTACTATTGAAAAGACAATAAAGAATCTGCTATTCTCAGCATACGTTGTTGCCCACCACAATGTATGTGATTAGTAAGTAAGCAAAATCTTAATTTTCTTTGTGTAGGGAGAAAAAAGGCTTGACTCGACAAATATCTTCGCTATATGTGCAGAGCAACAAAATATACTCTAGTATCTTCACACAGGAATTGCATATTTTGCATTTGTTCTTAACAAAAAAGAACTTAGCTAAAAAAATGAAACTCAACACAACCAGAATCTGCTAATTTATTAAAGCACTATTCTTGCTCAGTTAACTGCTGTATTATACGATTTAAAATCTTAGATATTCGAATCAACTGTTCAGCAAGATGATATTGTCCGATACGCTACCACAGGACAATGATGCCCAAGATAACTAAGGAGTGGAAGAAGTCAGTCATTAGGACTACTCAGTATATTCCATGAAAAACAGAGCTCCAAGCTGACCACCTCTATCTTGGTCAATCATAGATCCGTGCCAGTAATCGGACACCATATATATGTTTGATTCCAAATCTAAAAGAAAAGAAAAGAGGTTTTAGTATATTGGTTCACAAATTCCTCCTTAAAAAACCCAATCAGTTAAAAATGGTTTATTAATGCCACTAATCTTTACAACCCCATTACTCAAATAATGATCATTAAAACCTCTAATCAAGTTAATAATGGTCACAAAATGACACAGGTTATAACAATCCACATAATTGTTCACCAATGTCACTGGTCCTTAAAACCCTCCAAGTGTCGCATAATAGTCTACCTTACCTCGTCCTTACAAACCTCATTACTCAGATATGGTTTCAACAATGGCAAAAGTCCTTCCATCTTCTATTACTCAGAAATGTGTTTAACAATGGCAAAAGTCCATCAAACCCCCATTACATAGCAATGGCAAATGTCCTTCCACCCCCATTATTCAGATATGGGGTCAACAGTGGCAAAAGTCTTTCCAACCTCCATCACTCAGATATGGATACAAAAATGGCAAAAGTCTTTCCAACCCCCACAACTCAGATATGGTTTCAACAATTGCAAGATCCTTCCAATCTCTATTACTCAAATGTGGGTTTAACAATGCCAAAATACCTTACAAACCCCTTTACTCAGATATGGTTTCCACAATGTCAAAAGTCCTTCCAACTCCCATTACTCAGATATGGGTTCGACAATTGCAAAAGTCTATCCAAACCCCATTACTAAGATATGGGTTCAACAATGGCAAAAGCCCTCCTTAGCCAAATTACTCAGATATGGGTTCAACAATAGCAAAAGTCCGTCAAACCCCCATTACTCAGATATAGGTCCATCAATGGCAATGTTTCCTTCCAACCCCCATTACTCAGATACGAGTTCCTCAATACCAAACGTCCTCCAACCTCTAATTATCAGATATGGGTACAATAATGGAAAAAACGTTTCCAACCCCTAATACTCGTATATGGTTTTAACAATGGCAAATGTCTTTCCGATCCCATTACTCAGATATAGGTACAACAATGTCAAAAGTCCTTCAAACCCCCATTACTCAATCATTTGAGCAACAATGAAATACGTCCTTCCAACCCCTTCCAAACCATGGCAAAAATTTTTCCAACTCCCATTACTCAGATATTGATACACAATGGCAAAAGCTCTTCCAACCCCCATAACTCAGATAGGGGATCAACAATGGCAAAAGTCCTTCCAACCCCCCACTACTCAGATATAGGTTCATCAATGGCAAAAGTCCTTCCAACCCCCCACTACTCAGATGTGGGTTTATCAATGGCAAAAGTCATTCCAACCCCCATTACTCGGATACGGGTTTATCAATGGCAAAAGTCCTTCCAACCCCCATAACTCAGATATGGGATCAACAATGGCAAAAGTCCTTCCAACCCTCATTACTCAGATATGGGTACAAAAATGGCAAAAGCCCTTCCAACCCCAATAACTCAGATATGGGATCAACGATGGCAAAAACTAATTCCCATTACTCAGATATGGGTTCAACAATGGAAAAAGTCTTTTCAATCCCCATTACTCAGATAAGGGTTTGACAATGACAAAAGCCCTTGCAATCCCCCTTACTCCAAACAATGGAAAACAACAATGACAAAATTCCTTATAAACCCCATTACTCAGATACGGGTTCATCAATGGCAAACGTCCTTCCAACCCCCATTACTCAGATAAGGTTTTTACAATGGCAAATGTCTTTCCGACCCCCATTACTCAGATATTTGTCCATCAATGGCAAAAGTTCTTCCAACCCTAATAAATCAGCTATGGATTCAACAATGACAAAAACCTTCTATCCCCCATTATTCAGATATGGGACCAACAATATAAATAAATTCTTCCAACACCCATCACTCAGATATGGGTCCATCAATGGCAATAGTCTTTCCAACCCCCATTTAACAGGTATGGTTCAACAATTGCAAAGTCCTTCCAACCCCCATTACTCAGAAATGGGTTCATCAATGGCAAAAGTCCTTCCAACCCCCATTACTTAGACATGGGTTCATCAATAGCAAAAGTCCCTCCAACCCCCTTTACTCAGATATGGGATCAACAATGGCAAAAGCCCCTCAACCCCAATTTTTCAGATATGGGATCAACAATTGCAAAAGTTCTTCCAACCCTCATTACTCAGATATGGGTACAAAAATGGCAAAAGCCCTTCCAATCCCCATAACTCAGATATGGGATCAACGATGGCAAAACCTAATTCCCATTACTCAGATATGGGTTCAACAATGGAAAAAGTCTTTTCAATCCCCATTACTCAGATATGGGTTCAACAATGACAAAAGCCCTTCCAATCCCCATTACTCCAAACAATGGAAAATAACAATGACAGAATTCCTTCCAACCCCCATTACTCAGATATGGGTTCATCAATGGCAAACATCCTTCCAACCCCTATTACTCAGATATTGATTCAACAATGGCAAAAGTCCTTCCAACCCTAATTATTCAGATATCGGTTCAACAATAGCAAAATTTCATCCAACCCCCATTTCTCAGATATG